TTTTTTTAATTTAATTATTTTTATGTTTATTTTATTTTGATGTAGAAGATGAGGATGAAGATGATTAAGAAAAAAAGTAGAGACAACTTCTTTCAAGAGAGCTTCTAATATTCTTAAAATAAAAATTTAAAGTTAATTAATTGTATTTAAACTTGTTTTGTGGACTATCAAAAAATTTAGTTTATAAATAATTTGTAAGTTTATAATTTGGTTTTGATTTTGGTGTAAATGGACTAATTTCTATTTGATTTTGTTTTAAGTTTGTAATTTGTTTTTGTTGAACATATATTATGTACAATATATATGCATTTTTAATTTTATATGGTTATATTTATTTATTTGTAGTAATTTTTTTTATTTGACCATAAAATAAAGAAGTAATAAAGAAGTAACCAGAAAAGGAAAAGATAGTGATACAAAGTAAAGGAAAAAATATTGAAAGAAAAAATATTTGTTTTTGTATATATGAAAACAATATACTAGAAATAACTTAGCCGTTGGCATTCAAAATGTATATTATGATCTTCTATTATCTTTCCTTTGTGCTTATATAGTGACATGTAGGTTTATTGTAGTTTCAGAAATTTCGAACCTAAATCTCATAATCTTAGCCCTAATGGTCCCCCATATTTATGAGTGGTATCTTGGCCATTTGGAGTTGTCATTAATATCATTTGGATTGAGTTCAATGCTAATGCCATTTAAATTGGGTTTAGGCTGATCAAGAGTTTGAGTTGGGACAATTTGAACGACGTAACATCCTCAAATCCCTATGAATGGTACCAAGAGTGTGCTTAACATTTGACCTTTAGCTTCATAAGCTATGATCAGCTACTAAACATTCATCACAACTTTCATCAATAATCACATTAGTAAAAGTGGTTAACTAAACCATTTAAAACCTTAAGCACTAGTTTTAACAAATAAACAAAATAAAGTTGAATTAATTAATAAGTTCTTATATAATAAAAATTTACTTAAAATTTAATAAGTTATTGTATTTAGATATATGTGATAATAAATATTTATACAATTTTAAGATGTTTGGATGTATCATTATTTAAGAACTTATAAAATGTTATTTTATTTTAAAAATTATAAATTAATTTTGACTAAAAAAAAAAAGACTTAAAAATATTTTTAGTTCTTACAAAATTAGCTGATTTTGATTTTAGTCTATATAAAAATATAATTTTAATTTATAGGAATTAAAAACATATTTAAACTAAATAAAATATAAAAAATAAATATTTTTTAAATATGACTCTATACATCACAAATAATATTAAAAATAATAAAAAAATTATTAGCCATCATTCACCTAATTTTACATTATAAAAAAATAAATTATTAATAAAATATGAGAAATCAATTATATATATAACCATGATAAAATAATTATGAACCATAAACTTTAAAACTTAAAAATAAATCATATATATTTTATAAAATTATGATTAAAAATTTATTTTATAAATATGATTGACAAAATTATTCTAGATGTACTATTTTATTAAAAAAATTGTTAGGAGATTTTTTTTACAACAAGGGAATGTGAATTTTGGGGAAGAGATAAAAAAAAATTGAAAATGAATAAAAAAATAAAAAGAACAAAAACTCTTGGAGAAAGAAACAAAAACTTTTGGAGGGAGTAATAAAAAAATATAAAACTTATTTTTAGTAATAAAATGAAAAATAAAAATTATTTATATTAATGACAAAATTTGAACTTAAGTATTTTTCAATAAATCCTCTTATAAACTAAGTAATGAGTTATATCGGACAATTTATCAAAATAAACTCAAAACATATTATGAACTACTTATAAAATATTTTATGAGTTTGTTGAAACACTTTCATAAGTACTTATAGAATAATATAAATACAAATAAGTTATTCATAAATTTTTTCAAACAAAGAGATATTGTTTTTTATCCACTTTGTACTCCTTACTTTAACGGTATTCATCAAACATGATTTTCAATGAATGTATAAGAATCACAACAAATGAGACAATATCAAAGAAAAGTGTCAAAAAAAATTAGGTTATTGGTCTAACTCAATTTTACAAAGCCAATTTATTTGATGAAAATTATTACATATTTATATACATTATTATGATCTTAACATTGGTTGACGTGAGATCTTTAAATACATTTTTTACATAAATGATTAGACATTTCAAATATGAAATTTACAAAATTAGACATTTGTAGATAGGCTCATAACAACACTATTGCAGATAGTCCAATAAATTCAATAACAATCAACCATAATTGCTAGGACATGATTTAATATCATCTTAAAATAGTAAATTGTAGACTTTATTCCATCTTCCAACATTATTTTTCTTGTTTCCATGCAAAACAAGTTGAAGAAGATGGATGTGCTGCCTATAGTGAAGCAACATTAAGTGATTGATTAAAATAATTGAAGGGGGAGAATGAAAGAAAGAAGAAATTAAAGATTGATAAATGAATGAAAAATGTTAACACTACACATTAAGATAAAGAAAGGAAAGGGTTAGAGACAAGCACTTGATTCCTTTGGCAAATCCAAAGGATTAGGATGGTCCACCGATGTTGTATCCGACGATGTTGCTTATGTCTCTTTTCTTGTCATTTTTGCTTCTCTTTTCATCACTACCTCCTTCCATTTTCTCCTCCAATTAATATATTTTCTATATCAATATGCTTACTTGATTCATTCGGGAAAATGTCAACACCATACCAATAACTTATTTGCCTAGACCATTCTTTTTATTACATACGCAATTTCGTTGCGTGTAAAGAAAAAATAAATGAAAGTTAAAATTATATTATTTGTTTAATTCGTTTAATGTCAAAAGTAGTTCTTTGTAAAATCTAAAAATAAACCTAACTACAATAATAACTCAATTTTTTTTTCTTCATACATTGTTATTTTACATTGTTACGTCAAATTAAAAATTACTTAACAATTAAAGTTGACATAATTGTGGAGAGTTGGAATATGTGCCAATACTTAAGTTCAATTATCATGTTTATTATTGTATTTTTTTATTGACAACAAAATTACTTTAAATATGAATTTTAAAGAAGTTAGCATTTTATAATGTGTATTATATTAAATAAATATTTATTTTATATAATTAAAATCTATAATAAAAAATATCTATGAGTATATATAAATTATATTTTTAATTTATAATAAATATTTTATAATGTGATAATTTGTTATTAACTATTAGATAAAATGAGACACTTCATGTCTCTTATTTAAAAAAAAAAAACAAAAATAATAATGACTTGTTACTTATAGTGTGAAAAGTTTAAAAACTATTAAATGTCACAATCAAGTAAAATAAAAGAGAAAATAAACCAATAAAAGAGAAACTAATTTAGAAATAATTATAAGAGTAAATTAATTCAAAATTTGTGTGCACAAAAAAAAAAAGAATACCCCATTTATTAATAGTATAGGTTAATACTTTAATCATAACGTATTGAAATTTAATTTAAAGATAGAGTTAAGAAGGGTAGATTCAAAGAACATATGCTTAAAAAACCCAAAATACGTATAAAAAAAACGGGTATATAATTATTTATTTTAATTTAGAACTTGTATTTCAACATTTAAGTTGAATAGAATACATATTTATATTATGTATATAAATCTGTATTATATATTTTTTTTTTATAAATTTATCTGCATCAATTCTATAACTATTATAATCAATGTATTCACTTTTCGTAAACACATTTTATGGATTATTAATTAACCCTTTAACTAATATTATAAATTACACCATTTATTTGTATCCCATTTTATATGTATATTCGTATAAAAAAAACGAGTATATAATTATTTATTTTAATTTAGAACTTGTACTTCAACATTTAATTAAGTTGAATAGAATACATATTTATATTATGTATATAAATCTGTATTATATATTTTTTTTTATAAATTTATCTGCATCAATTCTATAACTATTATAATCAAATGTATTCACTTTTCGTAAACACATTTTATGGATTATTAATTAACCCTTTAACTAATATTATAAATTACACCATTTATTTGTATCCCATTTTATATGTACATTCTCGTTAGAATGTTTTCTCTGAAATTTTTAATTAAACCTTTAAATTTAAAAATTGTAATTAATCACCTGATGTGTGTGTGTGTGTGGTTAATGTTTGGAGTTTCAAATAGTCACAAAAGTAGCAATTTGATTATCTCTAAGACTTAATTACAAAAGTTATAAAATATTAAGAATTTATTTGTAAAAAAATAGTTAAAGAGCTTAATTAAAAATTCTCAAAATAATTCTCACACCTAATAATGCTAACCCTTATTATAATGGTGATACTCACTTTTGTCTCTACAATTTTCTTTTAGACTATTGTATCTCTCAAATAAAATTATAAAACACTAATATTATATTTTAACTACATATCAAAAATCACTCTACAAATTGTATATAAAGTCTGGCTTCAAAATAATTATACATATATTTTAATTGCATATAAAAAATTCACTCTAGAAGAAATATACACCCCACTAATTATATATAGAAGAAATATGGAGTACCAATATATGTCATTTGTTCAAGTGAGATTGAGCTCAATTTTTTAAAATAAGGTCTTAGGTTTGAGTATTATAGAAGAAAAAATAATAATTAAGATATAAGACTTTATTAAAGGTGATCAACAAGTTTCTTTTAAGAAATTAATATAAATTACATTATATTAATCTCATAAAATTTTCACTCGTAATTATAATTTATAATAAAAAAAAATATTTTTAATTATAGATTATATTATAATTAATATTCACAATAAATATTTTTTTTAAATATATAAATCATTCTGAATTTATAATAAAAAAAACCCTTAAATTTATTAGTTAAAGTTATTCTAGTCCATTTTCTTTTCTTCCTTTTGCTCCTACATTTTTCATTTTTCTTATCTTTTAAAAATGATAGAATATTCATTTATTTATATTATAACATTAAAATTCATTATTTAATAGTAACTCCTTTAAACTTAAGATTAATATATATTACTCCAATTTTCACCACTAAACTGACTTTAGTGATATGGTAAGTATTGTGTTCATTGTAAAGAAACTTTTAAATGTAGATAAAATACATATAAAAAAACAAAAAAAAACTATAGATATTATTTAGTTAATAAAAAATCATCTTAATGGCACTAAAAAATAAAAATAAAATATAAACGATACAAGTGTCGAAAAGATCAAGTTTCAAAAGATCTCAAAAACTAATTTAATTCATATAAATTATTTTAAGTCTATTTGTATAAATTTTTTCATAAATACTTTTAAAGGAAAAAAAGTAGAAAGAAAAAAGGAAATAGACTTTTCTATAAGTTATAACTAATTTATGCATAAATTAAAATTAATTTTTGAAGTAGTTAATATGAAGGGACTTTTAACTATTAATTTGTGTGTAAGTTAATTTTATTTCATGAATAAGCTTATTATCATTATTATATTTTTTCTTAAATGTATTTATAAAATTTTTTATTCAAGCAGGTCCTTTCTAAAACATTAATAATTAACTTTCGAAAGATCTAAAAATTAATTTAGTTGATATAAAATTACTTTCCTTGGTGATTTATAAGTATCATATTATGCCTAAAGTTATAGAGAAAGGATTTGAGTATATCCATTTTTTTTTAAAAAAAAGATAAAAATATTTTATTTTCAATGGGAAAATATATTTTGAATTTATCATTTCATACAAACTACTCGAATGCCTTGTCTCTATAAGAAAGATCTTTTTTTCAAAAAAAAAAAAAAAAGAAGAAGAAGAAGAAACAATATACATAATACATACTCATATGTATGTGATTATAGTAACTTTAATATTAATATCCTTAATTATCCCATAGGTATTTAAATACTCAAAACTAAAACTATTACCCGCATGTTGATTAAAAAAAATTAAACTGTTATATCATGTTCTAATGATAAATTAAGATGAGGCTATTATATGGTGACTAGTGATGCTTCCTAAGCAGCAAACTTAAATGATCCATTAACATTACTACAACATAGTCACTAACTACACAACAGTAGTAAGGAATTAAGGTTTTAAATTTTAATATAAATTTGAGTCAGTGAAATAAGATACGTGGGAATCCATTATAGAGATGAAAAAAATTTCACACATGATATATGGGAATCCTTTGGAAAGTTTTATATATAGTCTCCTGGAGAAGTATTTTAGAAGAAAAAAATCAGAAACAAAAAATAATTTTTTTCTATAAACTAAAAATTAGTTTATACATAAATAAATAAATAAATTGTTTAAAAAATTTATGTGACTGAATTTCTACAAATTAGTTACATAAGTCAATTTTATAAAGAACTTATTTAATTTTTCTTTTCCAACATGTTTGGATATATATAATTGAATTCTTTCCTTCTCATTTCAAGGTCAAGGATTTGACAACGATGGAGATTTTGTTGCGAGGAAGGAATGAGGACCACCTTTACAAACTACCCAACCACAAGTCTGTCACCACCATCCATCATGTTTTCAAGTCCTCACCCATTCATCTATGGCACCATCGCCTAGGCCATCCTAACAATTGTGTCTTTCATTGTGATCTTAAAACCAACAACTTACCCTTTGTGTCTTTAAATAAAAAGTGCACTGATTATCTCCAAAATAAAAGTCATAAGCTTTGTTTTCATAAATCATCTTTGTCTAGCAATAAACCACTTGAACTTGTTTATTCTGATGTGTGGGGACCAACCTCGATTCAATCAATAAATGGTCATTTTTATTATGTTATTTTCATAGATCATTTTTCAAAGTATGTGTTGTTGTATCCTTTGAAACACAAGTTAGATGTCTATACTATTTTTCTAGTATTTAAGTCTCTAGTTGAGAACCAACTTAATACTAAAATCAAAACAATATATTCTGACAATGGAGGAGAATATATTAAACTAAGGCTTTTTCTCCAACAAAATGGCATCTCTCACTTAACCACACCACCATACACTCCTAAACATAATGGTCTCTCAGAAAGAAAACACTGTCATTTGGTTGAAACCGCTTGATGCCTCCTTCACCATGCCTCTCTCCCACAAAAGTTATGGTCCTATGCCCTACAAACTGCAACCTATTTAATAAATAGACTTCCTACTCCAAACTTAAAAATGGAATCTCCACTTCAAAAGCTTTTTAATCAATCTCCAAACTACACGAAACTCAGAACTTTTGGTTGCATTTGCTACCCTTGGCTAGCACCATATAATTCAAATAAACTTGAACCCAAATCACAACCCTGTGTCTTCCTTGGTTACAGTTTGTCACAAAGTGCATATTACTGCTATAGCTTAATTACTCACAAGTTGTACACCTATCGTCATGTTCAATTTGTTGAAGACATATTTCCATTCCTAGTCCCACCACCCACTAATTCATCCCTTTCATCAATCTTAAACTCAAACCATTTAGTTGCAACAAATTTTGAACTATTCAAATCCATTACAAAGGCAACTCAATCGTACAAGCAAATCATTTTCTAGATATCATGTTCAAAAATTTGCCAATGTTAATTCTACTTAGCTACTTGATTCAAGAGCCTCTCATCATGTTACTCATGACTTAGCCAATCTTAATATATCTCATGATGCTATTGAACGTGATCATCTTCTAGTAGTTGATGGTAAGTCTTTACCTATTAAATCCTATGGTTCTACTTATCCTCCTAAAAATTCCAAACCACTTCATTTATCTGGTGTTTTATATGTTTCACACATCACATAGAATCCTGTTTCAGTATCACAATTGTGTCAACTAATGTTGTGACCATTGAATTCTTTCCTTCTCATTTCAAGGTCAAGGATTTGACAACGATGGAGATTTTGTTGCGAGGAAGGAATGAGGACCACCTTTACAAACTACCCAACCACAAGTCTGTCACCACCATCCATCATGTTTTCAAGTCCTCACCCATTCATCTATGGCACCATCGCCTAGGCCATCCTAACAATTGTTTTCCCCAGTAAGGAACGTTCCTTCACCACAAGCCTCTTCCTACAATTGCAACTACAACTACGCTCAGGGAATGCAAGGCCAGAGCCTCTTAGGGTGTTCCCCACCTCGTTTTTCATCGTCCCAAATTGGAGCCTTCAATAGTAGCCACAAAGGGAAAGGACTTAGCCCCCTCCACAGGGTCTTCAACTCACCAAACAATCAATACATGCAGCACGTTGAGAACCTTTCACTGCCTGCAATAGAAGAGTTCTTGGAGGACTATCAAGGGTATTCATCATCCAAAGAGTCTTCTGACATTGCAAGTTCATCTGAATGCTTTGATTTGTCGTCCCAAATTCCACCCATGTTGGATGGCTTGACAATGCCAAATTCCTCAAGGTACCATGATGATGAAACCTCAGTGCATGGTGCAGCTGCTGGCTCTCGCTCTTCTCAAATTTCCCAAGAGAGCGACATGTATCACCAGATGGGGTCCATGGCTAGTGCCTCCTTGTCACAAGCTCTACAACAAGAACGCTACCACGAGAAACAGCAAAAACAACAGCAAGAGAATCTAATGCTGCCTATTCCAATCGGAATCGAACAGGTAACAAAATCTTCCCTCCATCCCACTTCACCAAAAACCTTCAAATTCAAATAACATTGATTATCTTACTAAACTAAACTGTGAAATTCCTCTAGTGACATCTATGATGATCTTCAGTTCAACAAGTAAAATTTTGGATCAAATTAGATATGTCGAGTTTTGACTAATCTATAATGATGTTTGATGGTGAGATCTCATAATGGCTTGTTTTTATTATAACTAAATTGTTTGGAGTTGAAGTGAGTGGTGACCTTAGTTATAGAATAAATTATCTGGTGATATTCTTTTATCATAAGCAGTGTTTTACGACATGCAGGAACAAGACAACGGGCTTCAACTGGTGCACCTGCTATTAGCGTGCGCTGAGGCAGTGGCAAAAGAGGAATACATGGTAGCGAGAAGGTACCTGCACCACCTGAACCGAGTAGTGACCCCTCTCGGTGACTCCATGCAACGCGTGGCAGCATGCTTCACCGACTCACTAAGCGCGAGACTAAATGCCACCCTCACTCCGAAACCCTCAAAACTCACTCCACCCTCGCCCTCAAACTCTCTCGAAGTCCTCAAAATCTACCAAATCGTCTACCAAGCTTGTCCCTACATCAAATTTGCCCACTTCACCGCCAACCAAGCCATCTTCGAAGCCTTCGAGACCGAGGACCGCGTCCACGTCATCGACCTCGACATCCTCCAAGGGTTCGTAATTGTCACTCTTATTTTCATCATTTGTTTTTTTGAGATCCCACATCATCTAAAAATAATATCATATCAATGTATATAAGTGTGATGAAAAATCCTTAACTTACTAAACATATAACCTAGTTTCTAAGATATGTTTTGTTATTCATTTGGGTGTACTAAAGATACTTGGACAATTGTCAACAGGTACCAATGGCCAGCCTTCATGCAAGCCCTCGCCGCCCGTCCCAGTGGTGCCCCGTTCCTCCGTATCACTGGCGTGGGCCCAACCCTAGACGGCGTCCGTGAAACTGGGCGGTGCTTGACAGAGCTAGCGCACTCCCTCCGCATCCCCTTCGAGTTCCACGCTGTCGGGGAACAACTCGAAGATCTCAAACCTAACATGCTGAATCGCCGAGTCGGCGAGGCCCTTGCCGTGAACGCCGTGAATCGCCTCCACCGAGTCCCCGGGAGCCACTTGGGGAATTTGCTCAGCATGATAAGGGACCAGGCGCCGAACGTAGTGACCTTGGTGGAGCAAGAAGCGAGCCACAACGGGCCTTACTTTCTAGGAAGGTTTCTAGAGGCCTTGCACTACTACTCGGCGATCTTTGACTCGCTGGACGCAACATTTCCGACAGAGTCGGCACAGCGGGCAAAGGTGGAGCAATACATATTCGCGCCGGAGATACGGAACATCGTGGCGTGCGAGGGCGCGGCGAGGTTCGAGCGGCACGAGAGGTTGGAGAAGTGGCGGAAGATTATGGAGGGGAAGGGGTTCAAGGGTGTGGCTCTGAGTCCTAACGCCGTTACACAGTCGAAGATTTTGTTGGGGTTGTATTCGTGTGAAGGGTATCGCTTGACCGAGGATAAAGGTTGTTTGCTTCTTGGCTGGCAGGATAGGGCCATTGTTGCTGCGTCTGCATGGCGGTGTTGATGCATGTCGCCTACTATTTCATTTCATGATTTTTATTTTTTTTGTTTTCATTACTAATACGAGTTTAAAAGAGACGGTTCATGATTCTGGTATTAAAAAAAAAGTTCAATTAACTTTGAAAGAGTGAGATAGCTGAGTAAATTAGTTAAGAGAATAAAAAAATTCAAAAGAATGAGGACACTAATTCAGAGTATCTCCTCTTTTATTAATGATATAGATTATGTTGCTAATTATTATATTAGCAAAGTGATGCACTTTCTAATAATACTTATTTTATTGGTGAAATTTAAGTGAATCTAGTTGAATATGCGAGTCTTATCTCTTGTTTGATGGGTCATTTTTTTTATGATAAAATGATATTTGCGTGAATTTCAACTGGTAAAAGAAATTAAGAAATGTGTTGCTTGATTCTTCTTGTAGATGATTGAAATGAAAGGTGAGTATGTATAAGGGTAGGGGAAATTGTTCAAGTAAGGAAATGTTTTGTATTTTGAAATGTGGGGGAAAATGGAGAAAGAATAAGAGTACTGCTTGTTTAACTATTGAAAGTGATTTTGGGACATCCAAAAACTTATTTGATATTCACTAAAAGAAAAATAGAAAGACAAAATTATACACTTGAGGGATTATTTTTTGGTACTTCCTTTTGTGTGTTGTTTGATAAGAAGGTATGGGTGCCCTTTATTTATATGGCATATGGAAAATAGAGTGTGGACACATGATATATATGACCACATTATTTTGAACTTTGAAATGTTGACTTAATGGGTAATTGGGTATGTAGTAACTTGATATAAATGATTTTTAACCAACGTCTAAACTTTTATTACCTTCTTTTGTCCATTTTGTTAAACCATGGGACGTTCATGTTATGACATCCGATCTCCCATTTGTCATATTTTCCTTGAATAATTCATTCTCGTGACTCTAACCGCTTTTGAGAAGCACCATTGTTCTTCTGATATCCGGTTTTCTCTTGCTTACCGTGGATAGCCATTGTTAATACCTATTTTTCATTGTTTGTTAGTCCTTTTTAATCCATCGTGAGCTCCGATCAGTAGTTGTGTGCGTCTGGTACTCGTCAAAACCTGCATCGAGTGTTCAATTCTGAGATGTGTTCATTACTTCCCGAAAAATAACCATCGTGAACTCAGCAGTTAGTGGTAAGCTATCATGCACCGATACAATACGCATATCAAATATGATACGTATATGATATGACGCTATATCAAGTTTTGAAAATATAGGATATGATATGTTTAAGATATATATTAAAAAAAATAAATTAATATATATAAAATAGTAATTACAAATAAATATCATTCAAAAATTAAAATTAAGAATACATTTCTTGCTTTTTAAGTTTTAAAAATTACTAAAATAAATTATAAATCATTTTTTATTATCAAGGAATAGGAATAATATCAATTTCATCCCCTCCTTGACCCTCATCTATAAATAAGACAGCTTTCATTTCTAGTTCATCAAGAGATAATGACACCACTTCAAGATTTTCAACACCATCAAAACTATCCCATGCATCTCCACCAATGTCCCACATTCTAGTACTCCCTTGCATATATTCTTCACTTTTCCTAGACAAGAGTTGAAATTAGTATGTACATAAACAATGTGACACCCTTACTACCCCAACACATATATTGTAAATTCTAGCGCCACTGGAAATCTAACATCCAAGGTTACAACTTTCATGAAGACTGTAAAGTCAAATTCTGAAAGAAAAACGTACGCCCAGCGCATTAAAATCACGCTCGGCGCAAATCTCAACCAGAGACCTATAGAGGTCTTGTGCGCCCGGCGCAATATCAGTAACAAAAACATAAGATTCACGTCTAATAGTGCGCCCGGCGTGGTTCTCCCCACGCCTGGCGTGATTCACCCAGGGATTCCCCATTTTAAATCACGCCCGGCGCAATTTCAAACAGTAACCATCACCACTTCAAAAATTTCAACCAAAACTTGCAAAATCAGCCAACTCAAACACATGAAATCCATCAAATGAACTACATTTACATCAAACAACTCAAAAACCACAACTTTACCAACATGCAACCATCAAAACATGAAAATCCCAAATTTTCACCCAAAACCCCGAAACCCCAAAAATGAAATTTCTTCAATCTTAGCCAACAATCATCCAACATCAAACCCCTCATGAGTTTCTAAACTCATTTCCACACAATCCAGCAAAAACCTAGCTTTCCTTACCTCGGTGCAAAGATTCCGAGCTTCCGGGAAGGAGAAAGGAAGAAGAAGAGAATCTGCACCCAGCTAGCTCCGAACGGATTCAAGTTTGAGAGAATGAACCTCCTTGTTCACTCACGACTTCAGCTAGAGAGAAAAGAAATCAGCCACAAAGTCCAGAGAATTTGTGAGGAAGAAGAGAGTTTGGGAGAAAACAAGTGAAAGAGAGAGAGATTAAGAGAAAAGCCACGGGTCTCACAGATTCAAATATATAAGTTATTGATTACAACTAAAGTTTAAAAAATATTATAAACATAATAAAAATAAGTCCAACAAGTAGTAAAATATTAAAGAAAAAAATTTAATTTTGTGTTATTTTATTAATTATTTATGAGACATACTTTTCACATATTTATAGCCATATAAGACTCAATTGAATGTCATAATTTTTATATACGCTAATTTAATATTACAAATTTCACATGTTAAGTTGGTCAAAAATTAATTCAAAATCATGTATAATATTAAAATTGATCATTATTTTAAAATAATCAAACTAGTCTAAATATAAAAGATAAATGACTTAATGGCAATAAATTGGGTCTGAATAGATATAGAGAACTCAATGGCAATGAGTAATGTAATCAGTTGAAAGAATCAATAGGAATGCGTAAGAGGGAGATTGATGAAATCTAATCCCAACTGATTCTCATATCTGTTTTTCTTAAATCTAATCTGACTTTTGGTTACTTAAATTTAAATCACTACCCATCTCAATTATTTTTCTTTTATTAGAAGTTATATTTTTCTATTTTCTCAAGTTTCCTAAGAGATGGAATTACAATCGACTTATGTTTTGATTCTAGCTCAATTCCAAGCTGCATTATTCTTTTCTACATCATAATTTAGGTATATTATTATCTTGTTACTCTCAAACATACTTTAATTATTCTTTTTGATATGCTTGGATTTTGTTTTTGTTTTGTTACGCATTTGTGGGGGATTCCATGTATTTTTCTTTTATTAGAAGTTATCCATTTTTCTATTTTCTCAAGTCTCCTAAGAGATGGAATTACAATTCACTTATGTTTTGATTCTAGCTCAATTCCAAGTTGCATTACTCTTTTCTACACCATAGTTTAGGTATATTATTATCTTGTTACTCTCAAACATACTTCAATTATTCTTTTTGAGATGCTTGGGTTTTGTTTTTATTTTGTTAAGTATTTGTATTTTGCTTCACGAGTAATTATAAAAAGGCTCTAAAGGTCAAAAAAAATTCAAATAATCACATAATTGAAAGTTGAGAAAAAAACATGTACTATACATTTTCTTTCCTTTATTTTCCTTTGTGTGTCTTTATTTTACATCACACACACATAGATAAGTTTCTTTGATCCATTTATAAGCATGCAACAATTGTTGCATTTTTTTTTATAATAAGTTACTTTGACTCTATGGTGTTAATTTAATCTAATTGTTCATTAAGAAGTACCAACTCCATATTTTAAAAATTATTTGTTTCTTATATCTTTCAACATGTATGTTTATTATACTCCTATTATTTAATTTAGGATGTGTTTTCCTTGCAGTTGTAATCCAAAATTATTATCATGGGCAAATATTCCTCGTCTAATGAAGCTATCACACTAGTTTTAGTTGGACGTACCGGTAATGGCAAGAGTGCAACAGGAAATAGTATTCTCGGAAGGAAGGCCTTTGTCTCAAAGACAAGATCCTCTGGTGTAACAAGTGTTTGTGAATTGCAGAGAACTAATATGAAAGATGGACCAATTGTTAATGTTATTGACACCCCAGGTAAAGCATAATAACTTGCCATTAATTATATTGATTGTCTATTGGATTTGAGTTAAAAAGGGTTAGTTGGCTTTGTTCATTGAAAATTCTATCATGTATAAATCTGTGTTCTAGTTCCTTATAGTTAAACAATTTGTGTATTAATTCCATTATTTTTTTTCTTTTGGTATTTGATCCTTTTGAAATTCCTTATCATTTGTTTAGTTTGGTCTTTTTTTGAACCTTCTGCTAGCACAAAAACAAATGACGAGGAATATTATATAAATTAAAAAAATAAAAGAAAGTAGAAATAATTATATTTGCATGAAGTCAAAATATATTTAATCTTAAATCTAAAACCTAACATGTTATTTTAATTAGGACTATTTGCTGGAACTGATTCTGCGGGGAAGGAAATAGTGAAATGTATTGATATGGCTAAGGATGGAATTCATGCTATTATTTTGGTGTATTCTGTTAGAACTCGCTTTTCTGAAGAGGAACAAGCTACTTTTCTTACCTTACAAGCATTGTTTGGACACAAAATTGTTGACTACATGATTGTGATCTTCACTGGAGGGGATGAACTTGAATATAATGAAGAGACACTTGATGACTATTTAGGTCGCGAGTGTCCACAGCCTCTTAAGGTTTCATATTATTATCATTTTTTATCAATATATAACATGCTTAAATGAACATTTATGGCCTTAATTTAGTTTATGTTAAAGAAATAGTGAAATAAGAATCCATTTTATTAAAATCATTTAACTTTCTAAGTCTTAAATTTAAACTTTAGAATTTTATTGATTTTGATATAGCTTTAACATAATTGTAGGATATTTTGATTCTATGCGGAAATCGGAAGGTTCTTTTCGATAATAGAACTCAAGATAAAACAAAAAAATTAGGTCAAGTTCAACAACTTCTTAATCTTGTGAGCATGGTTATATCAGATAACTCTGGACGACCATTTACAAATGAATTATTTATAGAACTCAAGGTGAAATTTTCGTTAATTTTGAAAATGTTTTTGAATATTGATTATTGGGTGGCTAATATATCTGATATCAGGAATTCATCACTTGATTGTGCAGGATAAAGCAACAATGAGAGATAACCAACAAAAAGTGATAGAGTCCCTAAAAGGATATTCAAAAGAAGAAATATCAGAGATAAAAAGGCAAATGCAACAAAAATATGATGAGGAGCTCAATCGAATTACTAATATGGTACATGTTATATTTTATATCTTCTAATATTTATTTCATAATATTTCATTTTTATATTACAATTTTGAAGCTAAACATGTTAACACATTCTTAGATTTTATTGAAATTTTGAAATTAGAGTAGGTATAAACATACATAAAATGTCACTTGGTGTGTAATAATGTATAAAAATTTCAATGTAAACAAATTTAGAGTTCATGTGTAATCTCGCTTGTGAGTAAAAATCTCAATTTTTAGTGATCAACTAAATTTAATTTTTTTATGAAATCATATAATGATAAAATCACCTTCAAGTTATGAAAGAAGTGTAATAAATGAAGAGCAATAAAAACAATACATAAAATATAAATTTAAATAATTGTATCATTGTATGATTTTTACAAAGTTATGATCAACTTAATGCAACTTAACAACTTTATAAACAACTTCAGCAATATACAACATATTTAAAATTCATCTATCAAGTCAACTTACACAATATAAACAACATAAATCAACTTAAGCACCCAATAACTCAACTATTTCAACAAAAGAACACCATGCATAAAGTTTCCCTAACTCTCCTGAAATTAAACAACCTACATTCTAGCTTCCCTCACCTGAAGATTGGCTCGAAAAGCCAAGAATCTGAGAAGAAGAAGAAGAAATATCCTCCAAAGCTTGACTCTTGAACTTCAATCCTCCAAAAGTAAGCTTTCTAGTCCAGAGCCCTTCTCTCTAGAACTTCTCTCTAAAACCTCCCTTTCTCCTCAACTGCCCACAAGTCCTATTTATAGAAATCTAAAACGACCAGAACGGCCCGTTTCGAATCCGAAACGGCCCGTTCTGGGCTCCTTCATCATGTGTAAAATTCACATACAAAATGACCCGTTCTGAAACCAGAATAGCCCGTTCTGACACGTCTAGAACGGCCTGTTCTCAAACTAGAATGGCCCGTTCTGGAGTTGAATTTGACTCACAATGACCATTTTGGAACGGCCCGCTCCAGTTCAAGATTCGTAGGCCTATTTAGTAGTTTGGAACGGCCCGTTCCAGTCTGGGAACAACCCATTCTGGGCTACTAAATCACCCTTATTTTAGTAGTTTAGAACGGCCCGTTCCAATCTGGGAACGCCCAGTTCCAGCCTACTAACTACGTTACACTTTTCATGACAAAGTAGTAATTGACATCTTTATCAATGTCTTGTATCCACTATTAGGGGTTGTACTCAATACAAGGCATGGAAACTTAATGATGATGAAGATGAGCAAACGATGTTTCTATATTCACAAATCATTGTAACCTCATATCTATTGAGTTGTACACCAATATGGATCAAATTCAATCATAACAACGTATTAAAGCACAATCTAAGTGTGATTGGGAGGTAATGGAGAAATATATTGATTTAGCTATGAAACTTGAATGAGTAATCAAAGGAGCTAATAATTGTTAATATTATATCATTGTCATTATGAATATTTTACTATCACGAGTTGTGTTGGTCTAATCATTATTATTGTATCATTGTCATTTTTAACTTAGTAAAGTTCTTTAAGTATGACTCATTATTAATTTCAACTTTTTTATGCAATTAAACAAATTGTATATAAAAAAATATATTGTGGGGTTTAGGATTTGATGAAAAAAAAATAGACAGTTGAGATCACACTGTACAAATCGACAGTTGAGATCACACCGATTCAAACCCAGACACTGTTCATGTGTCAAATAGCATTAAAGACTTTCATCTTTAGTGACAAAAAAATAGACGGTTGAGATCACACCATATAAATTGATGGTTGAGATCGCACCAATTCAAACCCAAACACTATTCACGTGTCAGATAGCATTAAAGACTTTCGTCTTTAGTGATAGAAAAATAGACGGTTGAGATAACACCATACAAATCGACGGTTGAGATCCACTGATTCAAACCCAGATATTGTTCACCAGTCATATAGCATTAAAGACTTTCGTCTTTAGTGACAAAAAAAAATATACAATTGATATCGCACCATATATACAAATTAACGATTGAGATTACATTGAGTCAAACCCAAATACTATTCACATGTCAGATAACCTTAAAGAGTAAGGGCATAAAAATACTATAAATAAGAATAGTCTTGTGATTTTTTTACACAACACTTACTGATTATTAAACTTCAATATACAGAACCCTTAATCCCTCAATTGATAAATAATCTTTCAAAAATTATGGCTAGTTCTAAGAAAATATATTTGTGTAATACAATGGTGACATAATTATTGACAAAAAAGTAAGGGCATTGTATAGATGCCTTTGACCAATGTCGATAGTCGTGAAACGAGGTTTTTCATTAGAAGAGTTGAAACATAAGATTCAACAACGAATCTAAATTGCTCCTACCCAAAGGGTTGCTGATGTTTATTTTTGCCACCGATTATTCGTTAAAGATTCTTATGTTAACTATGGGTTGATGCTCCTTAGAGATGACGAAGACATCTAAATGATATTTTTTTCAAAAGACAATTACAATAGTCTTGGATGTGTCGAGGTATATGCAACATTGGAGGATATTCCCAAGCCTCTATGTTTTCAACCAAACTTTTACTTTGATGGGTATTATCCTTTTCAACCTAATTTTGATTTAAATGCACCATACATGGAACCACAACTTTCCCCCTCTTACACCAAACTTTAACCTATTAACTCATCTTTTGAATGAGAAGGAGGTACATCTTGCTATAAAATAAATCTTTTAAAATCCTTTAAAATTCCAATCGCATAAAGTAATTGCATATCATCTCCCATGTTTCTCCACAAAATTAAACCAGATCCCTTCTTTTTTCTCCCCTTATATCATAATAAAATAATATAGTAAATTACTATATTATCAAAATTAAACTTTTTATAAAATTCATTCGGATGGGACTTAAAAAAACGTTGCAATGAGGAGGCTATAGAAACCTCATAGCTATAGGAGTTATCTCTTAGCTAACCAACAAATTCCTTGTTATCTTAAATAGAATTGTTATCCTAACAAGATTTTAATAGTCTAACAGAATTGCTATTAGACTAACTCATTCAGTTAGAGACTAACTCTATTATTTGATGTATTTGTCCTCATTTGAGAATAATTGGAAACATCCAATTATACTTTTCTACATGGTATAAACAAATCATGCATCTTCTTCAAGCCAACAATTTAGAAGGCTATGTCAATGGAGACACGCCTTGTCCTTCCAAAACAACTAGTTCTGGTGATGCAGCTCAACCTAATCCGACCTACAAATTTTGGTGTCGCTAAGACAGCCATGTGTCTCTTACTTTTTCAGGTTCCTGCAGTCCAGACCCACAAATTTTTGTGTCCTTTGCGACTTTCTCTACTAATGCATGGCAGAAATTGCAAAAAGCCTATGCCATGATTACCTACATAATATACGCTCAATTGCTGATGAGCTTGCCCTCATTGGGAATCCAGTGGATGACATTGATCTTGTTATCGTTGCACTCAATGGTCTTGGACCAACATTCTGTGAATTAAATGCTTCTATCCATACTCGTGATTCACTTCTACAGTATGATGAATTGTTTGATAAACTTGTGGATTTTGAGATATTTCTTAACTGAGAGGAACTCATCCACTCATCTGTTCCAGCTACTGCTAATCTTGCTCAGAAAAGCTCCATGCCTTCTCATTGAGGAAGGTTTCCAAGAATACAACTTGCAATACCCCGTAAAGCTACCTCTGACTCAGCAAAAAATATTATGGTGTGCCAATTCTATGACAAACGTTGTCACAATGCAAAGCAATGTTTCAAATTACAAAGGCAACTCAATCGTACAAGCAAATCATTTTCTAGATATCATGTTCAAAAATTTGCCAATGTTAATTCTACTTAGCTACTTGATTCAAGAGCCTCTCATCATGTTACTCATGACTTAGCCAATCTTAATATATCTCATGATGCTATTGAACGTGATCATCTTCTAGTAGTTGATGGTAAGTCTTTACCTATTAAATCCTATGGTTCTACTTATCCTCCTAAAAATTCCAAACCACTTCATTTATCTGGTGTTTTATATGTTTCACACATCACATAGAATCCTGTTTCAGTATCACAATTGTGTCAACTAATGTTGTGACCATTGAATTCTTTCCTTCTCATTTCAAGGTCAAGGATTTGACAACGATGGAGATTTTGTTGCGAGGAAGGAATGAGGACCACCTTTACAAACTACCCAACCACAAGTCTGTCACCACCATCCATCATGTTTTCAAGTCCTCACCCATTCATCTATGGCACCATCGCCTAGGCCATCCTAACAATTGTGTCTTTCATTGTGATCTTAAAACCAACAACTTACCCTTTGTGTCTTTAAATAAAAAGTGCACTGATTATCTCCAAAATAAAAGTCATAAGCTTTGTTTTCATAAATCATCTTTGTCTAGCAATAAACCACTTGAACTTGTTTATTCTGATGTGTGGGGACCAACCTCGATTCAATCAATAAATGGTCATTTTTAAAGTCTTTTACTCTCTTAGGATTCAACTTATTTCTTTTTAGGGAGTGAATGAAGGAATAAGTAATCCAATTCCTTTCGCAACAAGATGAAGAACTAGGTTATACAAGAAGCTTTAAAGAAAGCTTTTGAAGGAGAGGGGCAAAAGAACCATGCATTACCCACCAGGATTTAACATCTAATGTCTATGTATCTTCAATTGAGTCGAAAGAAGTAAAATTATGACTTTTGATGAAAAATCAACATATTCAAGAGAAACCTTTTTTCTTTCTTTTCATAGAATTTTTTTCATCCTCATATGGGGAAATTCTAATTGAAGCCTCTTGAAGCCATCACCAGTGCAAAAATTAGTTTTAAAATTGGGGTTTTAAGATCGGTTAAAAGGTGATTGATCTTAATAGTGACGTAGTGGCAATTTTGTAAATAATGTTAACACTTTTAAGATCGGTTAAATTTTAAATGATCTTAAAAATACTTTTAAGATCCGTTATTTTATGACCGATCTTAAA